TGTTTTGAAGTAAATGCTCATTTTCGCTAACTATATTATGTTAATAGTTACGTTAATAGTTTACTATTTTAACGTTAATAGTGCGCCTATCACAACACTAACACTTATATCAAAACTTAACTTACGGCAACTAGCGGGATGATATGAATACTGCGAAATCTCTCCTATCAAAATCCCGTAGGACACGAGAACGAAGTATCGTTGGAATGACAATGACTAAATTTTTCATTTATTTCTGCTAAACAAATAACTTCATTCATGCACTTAATCAGTTGAATAAACTTATTTTTTCCTCATGCATGATTTTGCATGTTACCGATTCGACTTTCGGAACGCTAGGAAGTGTTTCAGAAAAGTTTAAACCTATATTATGAGTAATTTAAGTGGTACTTGCTGATCATTGGTTTTGGAAAAAAATTACTAATGATTATTTTAATATTATAAAAATCATATTATAACTCTAAGCTAGTGTAAAAGAAATCATTGAATTACTGATATAGGTTGAAATGCAAAATGTTTCGAAACAAAATTTGTTTATAAGGAAAAAATTTAAACTTATGCTACTTGTTTCGCATTTTGTACAAACTAAGAACAATCAGTTTCACCTGAAACCTCATATCGGTAACCATAAAAGAGTGAAAGACTGCTTCACTCCTAATAAGGTGCTAAATTGAAGCATGTTCTTTCTACGCTTCCATGCGCACTTTTTTCATTTTATAACCGTCGTTAAACAGCCAACTCATTTTTCGGCTTTACGACTACTAATGTTCAACTCTGTAGCCTTGTAATTTTGAAACCAACCCAGAAGATAAGGGAACTCCTGGATCAAGTATTGAGAGAAATTTACCTTCGTGGAGGACTTTTTTGATGGAACTTACCCGCATTTGCGTTACATGGAGAGGAACCTACCATGGTTAGATTGATGGCAAGGGGACTCTAACCCATGATTCGTCTACCACTGAGGATATTTCACGTCAGTACTGCTGTCAGTACAAGTCGGATGTGGAATTCGTATCGACCTGTCATCGCCAGGATCGAACCCCGGTTGACCTCATTGGAAAGCGAATGCTCTATACCCTGAGCCATCCATCGCGGCTCTTCCATGTGTATTTTTTATATTGTATATCCGTCGTTGAACAGATGACCTAATTTTCGGTTTTACGACTACTAATGTTCAACTCTGTAGCCTTGTAATTTTGAACCAATCTGGAAGACAAGGTTGAATCAATCTAGAAGGCTGGTTCAGTACTCTCAGAGGTATTGATTTGTTATGGGAACATGGAGGACTTTGCGACTCGACAGATTTAATGTGCACCACTTCCATGTGTACTGTATTACAGAGGAAAGAAGTTGAAAAAGAGAGAATATTGTTCTTCATCATATTTCAAACATAAACAGTACAATGGTTATACACGCCTGCAGAAATAGATAAGTAAAACTCAGCATAGAATTAAATATGTTTTTGTCTAAATTATTTATAACAAAAAATCATTTTACCCACTTTCCGTATATCCGTTTAGTTTTTACTTAGTTATCAAACTTTTTTTCTAATAAATATTCAAGAAGGAATGTAAGAAGCCAAATATATCTAGTTCAAAATACAAAATAACTCAAATTTTACAACTGAAAAATTCATGACAAGCTCTCAAAAGGTGATCGATGATCAAGGCTTGAAAAAGAAGTAAAATATTGAAACTATAAATTCTGTTTATTGACAGAAGTTACCTAGAAAACTCGGCAAATGGTGTTCTCCTGCCACAAAAACTTATCTTATCCATCATGCACTAGAAAAAAAATAATCGAATTTTTTTCAATATTTCATTCTAATACATGATATGCTTTTCCGAGGCAAGTGTTCTTTAAAATAAAACTTGATGAGGATGAGAAAAGCTATTATCACTTAAGCAATTTAAAAAATATCTGTTTTAAAACTTATATTTTTCTCATTTTTTTTACGAAATGAATTTTGAAATTAACTATAAACAATCTTCAAACTACAATTTTTAACCAGTTAAGCAACCTCTAACTATATACTTAACTGTTTAATATACGAAACTAAAATATCTATAATACGAGTTATTTTTTGAGATAACTCTTAGCCTACGAAAAAATATCAACGAATTGATCAGCGTGACTGTACTATGCTAGGAGAGGTTTAATTACTTAATAGCTCTGTAACACAAAACTTCTACTACGACAGGGGGCGCTGCAGATTATTTTTCATCTAAGATTTCTTTTAAACTAAATGCAAATTAACAAATGAGGAAAAAATGCTAAAATTCTTTTTTAAAACATCTCTAAACTTGTTTCTAATCAAAAATAAAAGGCTGAATTGAGAGAACACAATCAAAGAACAAAAAGTCAAGATTATTTTTTCTGTTACTTGAGTTCAGTTTAACTGTATAGGGATTTATTCCATTTTTTTAGTATGATTGCAGAAAATTCCATTCAAATTTAAATATTATAAAGCTTTTGTTAATAATATTTTAGGATCTTGCATTTGCAAAATTTGCTACATGTATTTTAGAGAATAAGTTGAATTTTTATAATATTAATCTTCGTCTGATTGCATTGAGGTCGCGTGCGAAATTGAACTGTTAGTGTTGTAAATTCACTATATAAATCCTGCTACCGGAAATAATAGCGTATCGCTTTATTGTTTGAATAAAGTTATCTTGTAGTGAAGTTTAAAAGAGCTTAATTCACATCATACAGTTGGCATCATGAAAAAGAGGCAGGCCAAATTTGAGATGGATGGATGGCCTAGAGAAAGACCTTTTGGTCTCAAAAACTAAAAATTGGAAAACACTAGCAATAAAAATGTTAGCCTGTAAAAACTTCTTGACAAAGTCAAGGCCCACCCTGGGCTGTCGAGTCATTGATGATGATGAATTCACATCATAATAGCGAGATTTTGCATAGCGCTTGACTTATATTATCTGTAACGCTAGTGTTAATTTTTATTCCTTTGCAATTCTGGGTTCCGGGAGCAATTACCTGCAAAATAGATAAATGAATAAATAACCACTGTTTCTAACAGAAATATGCAGAAAGCATTGCTTAAATTTTTCCCCCGTCGAAAATGCCATTTGTTGACGAACATAAATTAAAGTAATGCAACTAATTTTAAAACTTGTGAAGAAAAATAAACCTCAGCCACGTATTTCTCTCTTCTTGATTTTTCATTGGATTTTTCACATAACCTCTAATTTTCGGATTTTATAGGAAAGGTTGTTTTTGTCTTGTGAGTTTATTAAAGAAAAAGATAAGGTAAGAAGTCAATCTTTGATAAACAACAAATAATAAGATAAATAAGACATGCTGTCTCAAAACTCACTCATTGCCAATCCTAATAAAGCTGCCTTTTTTTAAAATACAGTATCATCAAAAAAGAAAGGTGATTTGCAATGTCATTAATTGATAAAATAACTAATTATAATAAATGAGAAAATAATAAATTCAAACATAACTAATTTCAATTTGCATTGATTTTTTTCGTTAAACAGGATTAATGATTATTTTTTTAATAGTTTTTATTAAATAGGGAACAAAAGTTATTTATAAAAAATTTCGAATATTTAAATGCGCCATATATCGTTGTCAGCCACTTTTTTCATTCCATCTTTTAAAAGTTATAGCCGGAGTCCTCTATAATTGAAGAAATTGTTAACGGTTGAAAGAACTAGAACTTTCATTTCATAATTTCAACTTTATATTAGCCACAGATTTTTCAATCACGCCAGACTTAAATGCGATTGCCGGAATTTTTTCATGATACTAGGATTGAACCCATGACCTTTAGAAACTTGGCGAGTACGTAAGGATTGAAAATTGCCAAGCAACCCATGGTTGTGGTGCTTCTCCAGTATGAATTTTCTTTTTTTTTTGCATTTGAACTTTGACCTTTATTTAACCAATTATTAATTACTGTCAAAAATTGCCGAAGTATATATTTCAAAATAATTGAATCATTTGGAGACCAATTTAATGAGTTTATTTGATTTTTGCTTTTGACTACATAGCACTAGGTGGATACAATTGGGATGCAATTGGATACAGTTGGATAAAATTTCTGAGCCTATTTGAATGCTGTTTTCGACAATAAATGACGAAAAGCATCGAATTATGATAATTTGCATAAATAAAGGTAACAGTTCAAATGAGAGCGAAGTTCATAATAGGGAAGTGACTTTAGTAGTGTACTAAATCATTTTCAGCCATGGTTTGCTTTGTAATTTTAAGCATTATAAGGTTTACTATATCCATTTACAATTGCGCAACCACTGTACTATATTACCCTGTATATGTTAGCTTTTTAGTATAATATTCTTATGTTAAAATGAATGATATGTCGGAAGTAGAAAAAGACAAGGGTCATACATTTAGAACACTTTATAAAATTACAAAAACTGAATTTAATTGTTACAATGAATAACAAAAATGTTCACAAACTACATAAAGGGAATATCACAGAAAAGTTGAAATCGAATATTTTTCAAGCTTTCATACAGACTGTTGCTCGTAATATCATTCAAAAATATACCAAAATGCCGTTTATGCAATTTTTTTAAAAGTACGATCACTTATAACAAATAAGAAAATAGTCAGTACACTTTCACTTGTGTATTGTAATGTATTGAAAAATTAATTAATTATTAAAAATGTTAGACGGTGCAAATACCATTTAGATCACATATTAAAGACATATATGTGGTTACAAACTATAAAAAAATTGGACCGTAAAGTAATTCCCTTGAACTATTATACCGAACTAGTTTTCTGCAACCTTATAAATGGTACTGATATTTGCAGCGAATTTTCGTTCAAATTAAGCCAATATATGGTGTAATCTGGTTCAAGATCAATGTTTCTTTAATATTGTAATAATGCACTAAAGCATTCAAAGTAATTACTTTAAAATAACTTTTCATTAATTCTGATAGAAAAAAATATGAAATAAATTTTATAAAAGCTTTAACTTTAAAATCGTTTCATCGGATTTTCTTTTCTAGAAAAAGATCGCATATTTTTTTTCCAACTTAAAGTTTAAAAAATTATACTTTTGATAATATGATGCCATCTATAAGATGAGTTTTGATCGCATTCTTGCCTAATGATCTTAATGACACATTTTTTTTGTGTGAATGATTTCATCATTTTACGTGTTATAGAGTAACGTATTAATCAAAAATTAATTTACAAAAAGTGTCCATCTTTGAAGCCGTACGGGCTGACATTCCGAGCAATATATAAGTAGCTTTACTTTAGAATTGAAATTTATCACAGACGTATTTAGATTTTGTGCAAAAATATGTCCCAAATTCGGATAAAACACTCAATAAAAATGAGAATTGGAGAATGGTTTGAGATTTAAATGAATTGTCTTAAAGTTTAGATGATATAGAATCTTCCAACAATGTTTCATCATTAGAGACATGCTTCTGTATCTCCCATATCCTTAAAGTATCCTGATCCGGACTTAAAACAACCTCACTATGAGTTTGGCTCTCCAGACCTGCTGAGTCATCACTTTTAACAGAAGCAATCGACTTCCTTTCAGCCATATTATCACCAAAATGGTATTTCAGTGGGGTAGTAGGATAAGTAGTAGGAATGCGGTATGGCATATCGACCGAATGTTTATCCGATATAACATGGTGGTGTTGATGCAAGTGATGATGGATAATGTGTCCGGAAGATTTCTCAGGGAGCGATGCGGGAGAATGGACGCTGAAGCTAAAATGATGGCACTCGGCGGCTCTAATAGAAGGAGAGAACGAAGGTAATACTGTAGATGTTGTTGGTCTGCTCTGGAGGGGAATAACTTGGCAAGAACTGTGGTCGTGGTCATCCGTAAGCTTTTGAAGATGCTTTTGGTTGGCGTTGTTCTTACTGTAAACAGATGAGCTTGCGTGATCTTTACCTCCAGCAAATGAGCTTAAAGTACGTGGCCAAGAATTCAATTTATCCAACTCAGACACAAAAATATCCGATGTTTTGAATGAGTTGACATTTCGATCGAGAGTGGTCGCAACGATTTTGTCTCGCAATTCACTTCTTTCATCTATATATCTCTGGGGTGAATCGAAAGAATTTTTATCTTGAATTTCTACTGGTAGCGAATTGAATTCAATATCTTTGGAAACGTCAACTTCGCATTTGTTCTCTGATGTGGAGTACATTTCAGAGCTAATTCGTTTTGTGGCTTCTTCGGAGATAGTTGACGTTTTCGCTGTGGAATAGTTGCTGCACGGGGTTCCAGCTGCACTTAAACTGCCATTTTTCTCTTCGAGTTTTGAAACTGATCTGAAAGGGAATTTTCTCATTATTTGAATAAGTTTATAACTTTTTTTTTCCATCTTCAATCATTTTTTACAAATAATCTTGAACACTTTAAAAAGATCGAATTTGACCCTCAAATATTGTATTATTGGGGGCGGTATAAAATTCTTTTGCCTTTACGCACAAAAGACTGGTTAGTCTCTAAGTTATTAAACTGAAAAGCACTATTCGACAAGGACATTTTTTCACAAAATTTCGTAATTAAATTTATTGCTAAGAAACTAAATCATAATCTTTAATATGATAAATTGGAATATTGATAAAACAATAAATATTTGTCACTATTGTTTTGATTTTACTTAACAGCCATAGAGCTAAATGATTAAAAAAATATTATCAAATGATAGTCAATAATAAAAATCAGGGTTTAATCCGTTAACAGTCAAGCTGTTTACGAAAATTAGTTAAAGAAAACAACAACTCGTGGCTAAACAAATATTTTATATTGCATAGATCTACTAATAATCTAGAAGCATATCACTTTAAAAATAATTTAATAAACTAGATATAAATTACAATTTTGTGGGGGGAACGTAGTCTTTTTCTGATTTATGTATTTAAATGATTTATGATCAAAGCTAAAATACGAGAAAGAAACACACAATGCTGTAGAAATATGATATTGTTTCAATTCTATAAAACGAACCCGATTCTTCTGTGTCGAAACATAGTTCGTCTTTCTATGTTTTTAAGTTGAAGTTTCTCATTATAGAACAGAAACTAAGGCACGCTTATGTGACATCATCGCACGTTTATGCGACATCATCGCACGTTTATGTGACATCATCGCACGTTTATGTGACAACGTTACGCTTCATTCACTTACAGATCAAAGTTAACCTTTTCTTTATTTGAGTTGATTATGCAATAAATAATACCTGAGACTTTTGACACTTGTGCTGTCTTTAGACAGCTCATCTTTATAGCTTCTCAAGGTGTTTCCACTGTTGCTGAAGGTCAAGAGCTGCGCAGACCCTCTCTGGGATGGCGAGTAGTCCAAAACCATATCCGAGGGAATGGTTGGCAGCGAATTCTTGTAGTTGGCATTACAGCAATCTTCCCGAACACTAGATATTATGTCATTCGGAAGAGATCCCTTTTCACCCCAGAAAGCATTTGTGTTGAATGCGCCTGTGTCATTCATATCGGTGCTGCCGATTCGTGTGTTCGTTGTCAGCCCATTTTCTTTGTTGTGTCCAGACTTAGTTGACCAACTGGTTTGAGGGACAACGCCTTGGCATTTTTTAAAGCTTCCTGTTTTGAATAGTTGATACCTGAATGAAATAGAAAACTATCAATGGGAAAAACCAAAAGTCTTCCTCAGGACACATTTTTTGAAATAATTTAATGCGATATTTCGGAATAAAGATATATATATAATCTCTCTTATGTGGCACCATAAACTCGGGTATTTACCCATCTGTTTGCAACACTATGGTTATTATTCATTTCGTTGAGTTGTCTTAAGTAATAATTTATGATGTTGAATAGTTGAGTGGTATATTTATTTAAAATAATTTTGTATTTTTATAGAAATAGAAACTTAGTTACGAAGTAATTATTTAGATTTAATTTTGAGATGCTTTTTAAAATTCCTATACATTTTTTAAAAATAAACATTATTATGGAGCTGCTTACAATTATACCAATTATTTGGGACGGAGTTTGCCGTTTTTGAGCCATAGCATTTATAATACTCAAGTTATTGTTTGAGAGGTAGCGAGAAAATATTACAGCACGTAATAGACTAATAATACAGTAATGATACAGCGTAAATAATGCAGCTCATTTGGATGAGCTTTCTATCTTATCTCGAGACAGAGGTGGAAATAATTTTAATACTTTAGCTACTAACGAAGTATTAATGTCCTAAATGATGGACAGATTTGAACTATTACTATAATTCAATACAAAGAGAACTGTGACGGTATCTCAAACAGCTCTTGAAAATAGTGAACATTAAAATCAAAATACTTTTGCCGGGGCTATATTTAGACTGTGAAGAAATTTGGCTTATATAATGCCTAAAAAATGCTGCAATTTTAAGAGGGATTCAAGAGCTAGAAAGTTTAAAGACAGTTGTATAGGTTACAATTAAAGTTTATTTATCTTACAGGATAATTTTAAAAGGTGCCCAAGCTGGTAGCCAAAGGCGGCTAGTTAAATATGTGTCTTAAACTATCGCGTAGCAATTAAACCAAATCATATTTCAACTATTAAAAATGAACCTTTTTGAAGTCACACAAATTCACTTTTAAGGCATAAAACGAGATTTGACTCTTTAAAGATCTTGGTTGGTATTTTTTTTCGAAATCTGTGTTATTTATTAAAGTTTTACAGTGATAAAAAAGTATGCTCAAAATTACTAAAATATGGCAAAAACTGCGTTTCTGGCTGTATAGGAACATTATCGAAAGACTCGGTAATTTTTGCCAAAATGCTTTGGTAATGATTTTGGTAAAATTAATAATAAAATATGGTTGCATAATGTATGATAAAATTTGCTAATGCGGTAAAATTTGGTAATTTTAAGATGATTGCTTAGAGCATGACATATGAACCATATTTTCTATTAAATGTACTTTTTTTGCATTTTTTACTATGCGTGTGGTAATAAGAACTATAATTTTTAAAACCAGAATTTGCAATAAACTGTTATCTTATGATTGGAAAAATTATACCTAGTGAATGGTATAAATACCGTATATTTTGGTTTTATTATCCAGAATTATGTTTTTTTGGCAGAAATGTTATTACCATACCATACAGTAATTTAACTAGATTTTTTTCCTCCATGTATGCATAAAAATACGTCATAAAGAAAATAGTTTTTAAATTAAGAATGCATTTGTTCATCACATACCAAGCGCTTCTAGCTTCAGAATACATCAGGCATCTGACAAGAAATATGAGAAATCCCTGCAAGGAGTTGGAAATGGAAAATACATACTGGAAAATGAGTCGAGCTTCACCAATTGCGAATACTCCGAAAACCCATGATACGCCAAGAAGAACCTTAACAAAATAAACGTAAACAAGTTTATATATATAAAAATTAATGCAAAGCTAGCTTAATTAACGAACATTAATTATTTAAAAGTATATATTTAGCAACACAAGAACTCGATATTTTATTAATTTTTAGAGATATGCTAATATTGTAAAAAAATCCACTCGGTAAAAAGTACAGGCACTCAGAGAGCCGGTACTTTTTACCGTAAAATATGATTTTACCGGAACATGTTATGGGACAAAAATTTGATATACCGTAATTTTTTAGTAGTAATTACTATAAAACTGCTAAATCACTCTAATAAAAAATGGTATTGTAAAATTTAGGGTTTAATGCTTTACGGTAAACATAAATTTTACGGTAAATTGGATTTTATAGATTATACACCCAAGATGCCAATACTTTATATCGTAATTTTTTCCTGAAAATTGTTACAGCGCAGAGCTCGTAACTGCGGTTAAAATAAAGCATATTGTAATTGGTGATATTTTAATACCTAACAGTCTTTAATATGTTTTAAGTCACCTTTAGTATCACTAGCACCAGAAAATTTTTCTGTTGAAATATAATTAAAACATTAATTTCTGTTGCCAAAATCTGCCGAAAATTATATTAGTTGACAAGTGATTAAAAGAAATTTGCCGAACGTATGGATTATTTGTTAAAAGAATTTGTTTAAGTGAGTAACTTTCAAAATCAGAACTAAAAATAACATACCACAAATAAGTAACTTGTAGCAAACTCAAAAGTTGCTAGAAATTTTGAAAAAGTAATAATAGAAAAAAAAATAGATAGAGGGGCAGAGGGAGAATTGCGGCTTTTGAGTTTGTAAATTAATTTCTTAATTGGTTTAATTTCTTAAGATCACTTGTTTTTAATATCTTTGTGATTGATACTTAATCTAAAGATATGTTTATCTGTAGTTATTTTTTCATCGATAACAAAGTTTCGATGAAATAAACGTTGAAAGTAGCTTTACTTGTTTGTAAAATTATATCAAAAGATTTATTTTGGTTTCATCGTACTTTTGTTAAAATTGAAAAATTTTATTTTAAAAATTACGTGTCCCGAGAAGAAAATAAATTAAATTACATCTTTCCCGTTAAAAGTATAGTTTGTTGATTGAATTTTAATAAAATATTTGACAGTACCAATAAATATCTTTTTCAAAGTACACCGGAATTCGTGAGTAGAAATTCGTGGAAGCAAATGAAATTGATATGAATTGGTGACACGAATTCAAATTAATTAAAATACAAAAAAAGAATTGAAACTTAATAATTTAATTATTTCTTGTGTTTTAAAAACATTTTGTATCCTTAACTTAGAAAACTAATTTTCGATTCATAAAGTAAACCGTATTTGTCACTCACACGTGTCGAACCAAAGCAAATGAGTCGTGCGTAGTTAATTTATGGTCACAACTTAGAATATTCCAAGGTTGATTCAAACAAAATGCATGCTTGTAAATAATGAAAATAAATACTGCATCTTACCATAACTGTGAACGCTCCTCTAATTTGAGCTTTGGTGACGAGACATTTATCTTTCTTGGGGCACTGTGGAGTTTTCTTGATGGAGTCATCCTTTAAAGTGCAGAGCGCTTTAGTTATCATCAGAAAAAATATCAGATTTATAAGTAAGATGATACAGGATGGTCCAAGGAAGCTGATGTAGTACACATATGGATTCTCAGCATTAAGCATGCAACTGAAAGTTAAAACGAAATAGGAGGATAGCGTTTTTTAATAGTACTCTACCTTTCCAGATCGACAATATCAAAAGCACAGTTTATGTACAAAGCAGAAAAAAAACTGATGATCTTGAATAAGTTTTGATCTAATGATTGGATGTTCACGCTTTAGGTCTTAATTTTATTGGCTCAAGGGGGTGATCTCCGAATCAAATTTTAAAAATACGATTTCTTTGAAATCCGATTTCTCAGGAACTATTCGACCGATTTTGCTCAAATATTGTATTTTGTCATGTAAAAATACATTCCTTAAAATGGTGCAAAAAATGTTATGCCTTGCAATTCACAATTTTTTGACACTTTTTAAATGAAATAATAAAAAAAATAATAAATATTTACTAATAGTTATATTTTGCATGGAATTATCTTTGGATAAACGATTTTTATATTTGTGTTCAAAATTTTTTGAAATCGGTCCGAAAGTTCTCGAGACATGGCGAAATACGCAAAAAATGACATTAACATTAAGGACCCAGACTTTGGACCGCTCACCTGATCAAAATAGGGAGACCATATATTTCAGGGGTCAGAAATCAAAATCCGTCAAAAAAAGGTATGCTTATTCAGCGAAAATATGTTTTTGTATTTGATTTCGTAACTTAAAATATCATCTGCACTAATTAATTTGCAGCTCTCCCCTTCAAAATATTAAGATTGAGTTCAAGAACGTGAAGATCCTATCATTCGACAAAAGTTATTCAGAATTTATTGCCCACAGTACATGCAAAAATTAACATTTCAAAATCATTTAAAAATAAATTATCTTCTAAAACTATTTAATTTTTCAATGTACACTGTTGCGCTATTTAACATTTCTACATAATTTAAATTTCAATAAAATCAATACATTTATTAAAATGCAGTGTATTGTTTAAATGTATAATTGTTTCGATGATATTCGCAACCAAGTTTGTTTTTTCGTAATCATCATTAATCATAGCGTGTATTGTCTTGAATAGCGTAAAACAAAAAAAATTTGTTCTATAAAGAGGAAATATTGAAGTGGTGCTGTTAGGATTCGCAGCAGCTTACCGACTTACAGTAAGGATTTGTTTGATTCTGGTGTTCAAAATTACAGAAGAATAGTAAATAAACTTAAGATACGTGATGTCATATTTGAGAAACGGATGGTTTTTAAAACAATTGTTGGGAGACTAATTGGTGGTGCTTACGAATGAAAGTAATGAATGTTGGTTACCTGACATAGCTATTTCACATGGATATAGCTATTCTAAAATTCACCAACAAATAACCTAAATTGAGCCGTGATGGCTCAGGGGATAGAGCGTTCGCGTTCAAATAAGGTGAACCTGGTTCGAATCCCAGCGATCGCTGATCGATACGGATATAAGCATCCGGCTTGCACCGACCACAGTGCTGACGTAAAATATCTTCAGTTGTCATAGGCTAGTGTCCCGTTGCCTCCAGGCTAACCATGGAAGGTTTTCGTGGTTTCCTTCTCCATGTAACGCAAATGATGGCTAGTTTCATCAAAAAGTACTCCACGAAAGCAAATTTCTCTCAATACTTGACCCAGGAGTTCCTTTGTTTGCTGGATTGAGTTCAAAATTACAAGTCTACGAAGTTAAATATTAGTAATCGTAAGTCCGAAAAATTGGTTCGGCTGTTCAACACGGTTATAAAATAAAATAAAATAACCTAAATTCTAAATATATATTTTCGTTCATAAAACTTCTTTGAACTAAATACTAAATTGATGTAAGGAAAGAAATCTATTACTACCTAATTGTTCGGACTTATTCTTTGAGTAATTACCATTCATTGCTTTTACTTCATAGCTGGACTTAAGAGTCAGTAATCGTGAAAATCATTGTTATCGGATTTCAATTCCATCAAGGGAAAACATTAACTTCAATGTTTCTTACAATGACGGCTACTATTCACTGATTTGAGTAATATAACAATATAACGCTTAGCAGTTTTTATATGAGCTACATTTCTACTTACTATTCATTTTGGTTTAAATAAACCTCCCAGTCCATTAAAACTGTTGTTCCCACAATGGCAAATGGTATACCTATATGCAAAATAAAATACACATGAGTTATTGTAATGGATCCATGAAACATTTGCACGATTCACTATACTTGCAAAGTAATGTTATTAAATAGTTTTTCCCTAAAAATTGTCCTTATACTTAATTTTATTAAACATAAATGAAATACTTACATTTAAACAAACTTTTGAGTTTTATTCAACTGTTCTCTAAATATTCATTGAAACTTAAATTTTTATTCTGACGGGAAATAACTAAATAAAATTTTGCGTTTTTCAAATACTATTTCATTAAATGTATATTTTCGGAGATATGCTTCTGACCTATCATTTAAAAATTCCTATTTAATTGATTAAGAAACAAAGAACGTTGATTTCTCCGTTAAAATATTTAAATTCTTTTCCTAGATTACATATTTTTAAATAAGATTACATTACAGTTCCGATATCTAAAAGTATATTAAAGCGTATTATTATTTTCGTCAAAACTTATGACTCTTTTAAAAAAACTAAATTTAAATTTAATATAAACAGGCTGCTTTAAATTCCTTTAAGTCAGAGCAGAATGTAAAGGCCAAGCTAAATACAGAGATTTTTCAAGAACATAGATCCAATTTAATTAATTTCTATTTAATGAAGTATTGGACATGATCAATCTAATTATCAATGAAAAGGGAAAATTGTAAAGTTTTTTTTAAATCATACTTTAATATTGTTCAGTCCCTCAACCTTTCCTCTTCATGGCAAACATCTGAGCGGTGAATAGCACGAACTGGAAGTAACTGTGTTTCGATGTTTCAACTCACAGAGAACTCTTACAGCTTTTTAGTACCCAAGCACATAATAGGACGGGAATACTGGCTTAAATTACGCCTCGTTAGCTCACAAAGGACTCTTACAGCTTCATAGGACATAGGGCTACAATAAGTAATGGAGATACTGACGTAAATTCTACCGTCAGCTCACAGATGACTCTTGCAACCTTATATGAATTTGTGATAATAATTTCAACTAAAATACTGGCACATATTACGATGCGTGAGTACACAAAGGACTCTTACAGTTTTATATGATCTAGTGTCTTAATAGCAACGGATACATTGGTGGAAATTACGCCCTGGCAGCTCAAAAGGACTTTAACAGCTTTCTATGACCAAGTGTCCTAATAGCAATGGATATAATGGTGGAAATTACGCCGTGGCAGCTCAAAAGGACTTTAACAGCTTTCTATGACCAAGTGTCTTAATAGCAATGAATACATTGGTGGAAATTACGCAATGGCAGCTCAAAAGAACTCTTACAGGCTTATATGACCTAGTGTCTTAATAGTAATGGATACATTGTTGAAAATTACGCCGCGGACGCTCAAAAAGACTCTTTCAGGCTTATATGACCTAGTGTCTTAATACATAGGTGGAAATTACGCCGTGGACGCTCAAAAGGACTCTTACAGCTTTATACAATCCAGTGCCATAATAGCTTCGGAATAAGTTACGTTACGTTAGCTCACAAAGGACAGCTTTATAGGATCAAGTACCATAATAGTAACTAGCGTACAAACTACACATTATGATTAATGCTGAAAAAAAAGAATGAGAGGTGATTCAAAATGAAGTGTTAGCTCATGAGCTTCAAGTTGTCTCACACGGTTTTAATGAAACTGTATGCACAACTTCCTCACTAACGGTAATCCTAACGGTAATAAACTAAACCTTTAACGGTAAAACGTTTTCCATGAAATACAAAATCATTTAAATTGGGTTCTTCTTTTTGAATAACCCAATATTTGAAAGCTGATTAGCTTAGTATTAGTTAGTAGTAATCAAAATGCTTAGTGAAAATGCCACCATTGCATCACCCTACATTTTTCAGAATTTAGTTAAACATATGTTGACAAAAGCCACTCTTACTCACCCCATGCTATAACAGCCCTTTTCAGCATAAAGTGTGCTTCAGTCGATGCAAACACATGAATGAGGAGGCGATACATATTGATTCCTTCAACACACATCCACGCTAATGAGGACAGCGTGAAATAATGGATGAGGACAGCAACAATTGCGCAGACATCTATATCATAGGGGATCAATCCCCTCTGAGATCCGACTATGAATACAACATTCATCATCAGAATTGAAATGCACAAATGGATTAAAATACGACCCTGATGGTCCTTATTCAAACACCTGTAAAAATAAGAATAAAAAAGCAACAAGCATGTATGAAATACTTTTTTAAAGTAATAAAGTACTGTACAAATAAACATGTTTATACAAAGGTAAAAAAAACGCGTTAAGATATATTTTGAAAAAATATTTTTTTAACATTTCAGGGAACATTTGTTTCAAATCGCGTTTATGACCGAATTTCTTTGGAAAAAAAAGTAAAATTATATGATTAAATGTAGTGCTAGGAAATTTTTTAGTTACAGAGATAAAAAGAAATTGTTTTAATTGTAGGTTTAAATATTTTTTTATGAAATTTTTTACTTCAGGTGTCACAACAAATTAGGTTTAAATTATCAAAAATGGTGTGTTTTATTGCCGTGCGCAGATCTGCTTTTTGTAAGTCGTGCATAGCGTGTCGGTTTTTGGTGATATGCTGACATGTTTAAAGCTGTTTAGAGTCTTTGTATGTGCTGAATATTTTGTTAAACATAAATACGAGTTGCCATTCGAAACTTTCGAGATTCCGTACTGATAACTGTAACCGTGTTACCTATTGTTTTCAAAATCTCAGAAAAAATCTATTTGAAATCTCCTCTCGATCGGTTGAATGGATCGGTTGAAAGGGGTCCATAAGTAGACCAAGTTGTTTTCATGATCCTGCATGGGCAAAATTAATAGTGTTTAAAACCATGTTAAATCAGCGTTATTTTGACCAAACTAAAATTGTCGTTATACTTTGTAATAACAAAATTTTATCCTTACAAAACTATAAGTTTATTCATAACAAAATATGCTTATTATCTATACAAGTATAAGAAAAGACTTAAAAAATTTGAAATTATTTTAAAATCTTTTTAAAAAGCCAAGTGGATACTCTAAAAAAAGGAGGAGAAAAATAAATTTTCATTTTTCTAACATTTTACGTGCTTGTATTGGCATTTTTAAGCTTTAGTTTTTATTCCTAAGATATTTGATTTAATTCCCATTGGTAAAAAAATAATGAAGAAATTTAAAGAGAAAATTTTAAACCAGTTAATCTGATGAAATAGTAAGCATATGCTAATCATTTTTACAGTAAACTATGTTTAAATCGTTATTTTCAAGATTTTTTAAAAGTTAAAACGAAAGTGGAACAGAAAAAAAATGAGTCTAAATATTTCAAATTTAAATAAGCAATGGAAATTAGTCAAAAAGTTTAATAAGTAATGAGTGCTGGAGGCATTAATGCGTTACCTGAAAATTGAGTAAGTGATGATAGTTAGTAGAAGGCCGAGCATAGATAGACCACAGCCAATATATGAAACCATAGACAGAGGGAAAAAGTGATTAGTATTGATCCCATCATAAGGGGTTGGGTCCTGAAAAAAATAGTTAAAAGTAAAATATTAGGAATCTATAAATAAATTTAAAGTAGAAAGATACGTTATTATACCTTTTAAATATTTAAAAAAAAACAGCTTTAAAGCGGCTACTTTAGGTAAAAGAAGATTTTTTTTAACTCTAGCAAAAGTTTTTTTTTTGAATTAAACTGCAGTATTAATTTTTTGAATGTTCAACGCGTTCGATACTTTGACTCTAAGACTTTCAAATATGTTTAAAAATTAAGTAAATATGGGTTAAATGTAGATGTGAATTTATATTTAGTGCCAAACAGTCAAAAGAAGCAATGAGAAATTATCATTAAAGATTAACAGAGAGAAAAAAAAGATTAAGATGACCAAAGTTTAAGATTACCTGGAACATCATTTATCACCAAAAATATCATTTTCTACCTTGAATATTATCATTTATAATATGGAATATCCAATAACCTGATATATCATTTGTTTTATTTTCATTGACGGTCTATGAATATACCTTATCATCGCACTGTTTGTCTATCCAAGGAAGTCCTCTAGCCACAGAGTCTGGAGCAGTCTGTTACTATGGAAATAAGACATTTTAAAGAATTCTTCTTTTGCTAACATATTCTTGGCCTTTTCTGAGTGTTCAGACAACATTCTTATTTTTTGTTTTATTTTATAAAACATCGTTGAACAGCTGACCCAATTTTGGGTTTACGACTACTAATGTTCAACTCCGTAGCCTTGTAATTTTGAACCAATCCGGAAGACAAGAAAGCTTCTGGATCAGAAGCATGATTTGTCATGGGAACATGGAGGACTTCGGGAATTGACAGATTTAACGTGCACCTATCGCCATTCACTACACGAGGAGTCTTCGACCGGCGAGGATCGAACCCATAACCTCTAGGACATAGGCCCAGTGCCCTACCAACCAGGCTATTCTGGCCTCGGCAATACTGTTTGAAATAAAGCTCGGTAACCAAAGCCACCAACAGAGCTAAACATCTTGTGAGGGGAGTTCCTTAGCTAGACATGCAGTATTATGCAGGGAAAAAATTTAAATTTTAGTAGATGTGATCGTTATCTGCCAACGACTATGATTGTTTTACGAAATGAGATAAGAATGTAAATAAGAAAAATTTATCAGCTTAACGGTAGGAAACATTTACTTACCAATAATAAAGAGAACGACGTCATATGGAATGCTAAACATGTTGTTGAATTTCCACTTTGATTTGTAATCAAACCTTCAGTAGACCAAGAACGTTCTAAAATATCAAATATAATGTGAGGTAAAGTAATATAAGGTACTCATATTTATGAGAAATAAAGACACGTAACTGAAAAATCTAATTGATTTTTATTGATGTGTAAACTAAAGGTTTACAATCAATGATTGGTGTTAAAACTCATATTGAACTGGGGAAATAATATTTATTAATATTTATTATAATTTCGTTAGTAAATAAATGTTAATATTTGTAATCGTTTTTCACACAGTTAAACATCAAAAATTGTTATTACTTTTTAGCAATAATAAACAATTTTAATTTCGATGGATTTTTGATTTTAAAGCTAATCTAATTGAAGTTTAAATAAAAGTTGGTTTACGACAACTTTAAAAGAAATGCAATTTTCAAGCTGCTTATCAGTTTTAATTGAAACTAAACTAATAAAAGTAAACTTCTTCAGCTAAAATTTAAATTTTTACCACCAAAATGGGTTTTCGTTGCTTGACTGGTGTTAATATTATTTAATTCTCATTCTCACAGATGGCGCTCAGCGCAGTTATGTATTATTAATTAATATTCGGATTCCATTCAGACACTGTAACCTTAACATCATTCTTCTTTACTGTTATTAAATATATTTTTCTTTACAGAGTGTTTTGTTATAACTTATGCACCTCACCCATTTCATAAGGATTAATGAAATACGGATTCACGAATGAATGAATGAATAGCATTCATTCATTCACAAAAAATACTTAATATTCGCCTTTATTTAAAATATCTAGTTGAAATATTACATTACCTGGGCAAATAACTTTGAAACAAAGCATATAACGAGTTTTATTAACTGTGATAACAAATATATCGATTAGCAGTCTGTAATATATGGTTGATCTATTTTTTTAAAGAAAACAGACAATGAAATTTAGTGTTTTAAACGGTATTTTTCCACGGAAGCTCCCAAATCAAGTGTTATAATAGAACTATTTTCTGCATAATAAATTCTAATGAAAAGAACATGTATGGAAAATAGTACTCGGCTATTCTACCGGCAATAGTACTTTAACATCTCACAATATAACTATATATTCAAATTATTAACAATTTTTTATCTAATTATGTAATCAAATATATTCTATATTAGTCCATAAGAAGAAATCATATCGTGTTAACATTGCTTTAAACTGCTAATCAAAACCAACCTACAAATCAACCTACACACAACCTACAGCTTGAAAAATAGAATGGACGAATTAAATTACAATAGCACGGAACAACATTCTCAACTGAATCAGAGGGATTGTAGTGTTCTTAGCATAGATGAAATGAAAATAAAACAGAATTGGATAGCCTTAGCAGGAAATAATGCTGAGAAATGTTCTTCGGAAACGATGGATATGGAAAAAAATCCCTGTTACAAATTGTGTTGAATCATTGTTTACTTATTTTTAATGCAAAAAATGGCTTATTTTTTAAAAAGTAATGCATCAATGTCAAGCGTTATCAAGTACAATTCTAATTACGAAGGGAGTATATATTGTATAGATTTTTAAAAAGCGAATTTCAGTAGTATCAAAGACAAATGTAATGTTCATATATATATTTTTTTAAAAATTTGAATCGAAAAAAAAAAGATTTATCTTTGGCTAAATTTTAATTCTCATCTTATATGATAGCGCTCAACAAAAGAGCTTTACAGTGTTCAAAATACGTGGGAAAAAAATCGGTAAAATTACCGTACTGTATAGTAATGAAATTTCTTGTAATAAAAAACATAATTCTGGTAATAAAAACCATATTATGCTGTATTTAAACCATATATTTGCTAATTTTTCCGTTAATATGATAACGATTTACCGGAAATTCTGGTTATGAAAATTATAGTTGTTATCACACATTTAGTAAAAAATACGAAACTGAAAAGTAAATTTTATCTAATAAATGGCTTTTACGCCATGGTCTGAGGCGTCAAGATAAAATTACTGAACTTTACCACACTCACCAAATTTTATCATATGAAACCATATTTTATTGACAATTTTGCATAAATCATGGCCGAAGTGTTTCGGTAAAACATTCTGAGCTTTTTGGTGTTCCCATAGAGCCAGAAACACGGTAAATTCTACTATATGCTTGTTTTGATCATGTTTTTTTTCTCTGTGTCCTATTGCTTGCTTTTCATCTAATTGAAAACAGCTTATTTTCAAGCAAGCCCTTACAAATTTTGGTACTAGCTTACAGTACTGTTTTCCTAAACCTAATTATAAATACAGTGAACTCTCACTTATGCACCGGTGTAAGGGGCCAAGAGAAAAAAGCGCATAAGTGAAAGAGGCGCATAAGTGAAAAACTTCAAAATTCTAAAACGCAACGTAAATTGCAGTGACAATATGAACAAATATGTTTCTAAAGATTAAATGTTAATATTTATACTGTTTGGGTATTTACTATAACTAAACAAAGAAAAAAATTAACATACCTTAGACAATTTATTTTCTTACAAAATAATCTTAATACATGTTTGTACTATTTGTTTTTGCCGACGTTATTCAAGAACAATTTTTTCCAGTTCATATAAATGGGATAAGAGGGAGTTTCAGAAGCAAAATAGTCAGGAATAGTGTCTAAAGCTTTTAATACTGCTGTGTGATTTGGAGGAACTTTATCATCTCGTCAGTATCATCCACCACGTTCTCATCTTTCACAAGTTTTAGTTAGATATAAATGAACAGTTCTTCACAAAAAATTTGAGTTTTATGGGAAGGGGTGAAACATCACATGATAAATTTCTAAGAAAAGTACTTGACGTCATAATATGCTTCGCAATAAGTTGTTCAAGTACTTCTGTGACTAAACAGATCACCTCCTTTTATTTACTCATACTGTCCATCTGACTGCAAGTAAGTGATCGCGGTCTCTTTCATCTTTCGTATTCCAGGTGTCTTTTTTTTCTGGAAAACAGCATGGGAGTAAAACTAAAATCTGGACAAGAGGAATGGTCATTTCGTAAAAGATGAATGGGCTTTCATTGTTGTTGGTGTAACAGATAAGATACCCTATTCAAAATTTTAGAAGGAATGTCTTTCCAGAAACAGTAAAAATGAAAAGGTCACAGGGGGAAGCAAATTCAATAGGATCTAACAACATATATTTCTTTTTATCTGTAACAAGAATTGCTTATTTGCTTCATTTTTAATTTAAAACATTTTTTTTAAAAAGAGAAAAAATATTTAAAGGATTAAAAAATTAAAATGTTAGCCTAAAATTTCAGCGCATAATTGAAAAATTTATTTTTAGAGCGACGCATAAACGAAGGATGTTTATCATTATTTTCCTACTTAATGCACTGGGACCTATTAAAATCGTCGTATAAATGAAAAAGGTGCATAAAAGAGGTGGTGCATAAGTGAGAGGTCACTGTAATTGGATTGAATGTAGTATATCAAATTTCGTTGTGCGAAAGTTGGTGTATTGAATTTTGTTTGCGAATATGCATGGAAAAATGTGCTTGCAGAGAAATTTTTGGGGGTTAAAGAACATAATCGAGTAGAGTGAAATCTCTCAGTATGTTTAAGTAGTAAGCTATGTTTAAGTAGTAAAAATGTTTAAGTAGTAAGATAGTAGTAAATATACCTTGCTCTTTCCAATATGCACAAAACACTTTCACATTAGTTGGTGAAGGCAACACATACATTAAAGGGCTTGACAAGTTGGCTATAGTTGTGTTGAGTACGCTTGCTTGTAAGACTCGACGACCTGGAAGTAAAAACAAATTTAAGAAAAATATAAAATCTAGTTCTAGAGTAATGTAGTATTTGTATGAACGAAATATATTAAATTATGCATCTACCTGAAAATCCTGATGTACCAGTATAGAAACAGTTGTATCTCTTTCTATAGTTATGACTATCGTAGCATTCTTTCCACCTGGCAGTGGGTTTCTCTCTAAAAAACTTGTCATTTTTGTAAGCCACAAACTTTATTCTGAGCTCTTGATAGGATTGGTTCTGGGCCACAAATAACGCTTCAGTCGGAATAGTCAATTCAGCATCCTATAAGGTATTTTAGATTTTTAGTATATTTTATTCCAAAAATATGTGCAATGTTGCCTCAAACTACACCGAGAAGAAAAGTATGTTCAAAATTACCAGAATATTGCGAAATTTACCATGTTTCTATACCTAGGAACAGCAAAAAATCCGAAATCGCTTAGATAAAGATTTTTGTAAAATTAACCATAAAATATGGTTTTATAGTATTAAATCTTCATAAATATGGTAAAATTTAGTAATTATATCATGATTCTTCAGACTATGCACATAAACAATTCATTTGGCTAAGTTTACTTTTTAATTTCGTATTTTTCACTAAAGAAGAACTATAATTTTGAAAACCAGAATTTTCGGTAAACTGTTATCATATTAACGAAATAATTAGCACATAAATGTTTTGAACATCATATATTTTGATTTTTATTAACAGAACTATAGTTTTTTTTTCTACCAAAAACATATTTACCATACATTATACCAGGATTTTTTTCTCCATGAAATTTTTCCTGATATATCAACATTTTGCTAAGTATTTTTTCGGATCGTATTAGCTACATTTTTAAAGAGTGGGAGCAATTTTGAAAATGTAAACATTAAAACTAAGTGGAATAAAAATTAAGTGTTATAAAATCAAAAGTCAAACAGTGCTTAAACTAGAAATATAATGAGGAGAAAAAAAAGATCAAAACAACCTGGCAAATTTGGAGAAATTGTAAGCAATTAGATTTAAAGGAAGGAAAAATGAAAAAAAAAAAGTTATCAAAATCTGACAAAACATAAACTACCAAGGTTAAACTGGAAATATTAATACCTATTTAATTGTTGTTTTCCTCTCAAGCAATTTCTTAGATTTTCATAAAATCTAAGATTTTTTTCCGTTGAGTTTTTATTTTTTTCGTGCTAAGTATTGCTTGTTGATTTTTATCTTGCATACTTTTTGTAGAATTTAATGAAATATATGGATGATGATTGAAGAGCTTACTTTATACATAGGATTTGTGAGTCCTTGAATAAAATTTTGTAAAAAGAAAGAAAAAAACTGTTAAATTTTTAATCTTAAATTACTGTAAAATAACCGGTAGCATCCAGTTATTTATCTGTTTATTTGTCCATACAATAAATCGTAAAGTTTACGATAAGAAATATTTCTTTACCTTTACGGTATTGAAAACTTTATAATTGTAGGGTTTTGTAACCATTTACATCTAGTATGGCTTCAAAACCGTAAAAATGAAATTCATCTAGATATTGGAGTTAGGTTATCTTAGATTTTTTGTGTTAGTTGATAGATAATTGAGTTGGATTGTAGTTGAGTTGCGTTTTTGGTAAATTAACCGCAGAATATGGTTTATCTGGTGGTGCTATCTATCGTGAAAGATGAGAAATAATAGGTTTTTTAGCAGCTTTGTGGTGCTGCCGCCAAGAGTGAATGAGAATTTACTATTTCAATATTTCAAGATCGCCGATTGAGAAGTGCAAGCCAGTGGAAAGTCTTCATGCATAGAAGACGCTGCGATTCGAACACCCAGTCAGGCGATCATGGGATGGACATATTAGTCTTATCAGCTGAAGTATGCACTCAGCTGCAAAGAACGTGGCTTCAGAAATTCGGCCTAGTTGACCCGGATATAATTATGGTTGTTAACCGTATTTAAGCAAAAAGAGTTAATAAATGATTTTTTTCTCAGAGTTTACAATTTGAATACCTTCTTCTTTATGATTATTTTACTAGTTTAGTGGTATACTGATAAATTACAATTAAATAAATTGTTAGCTAACCATTTTTTCGGAAAAAATTTCTATTGGTGTATGAAATAAAAAACAAAGCAAAAATGACTTGTCATGCATGGTTGCTAGTAAAAGAGTTAAGCATTAAAAAAAAAAAGATAAACTATAAAAAACTTTTTAAAAATGTTAATTAAATTTTTTAATTTTTCAAACAAAAATGTAGAATTACATTGTAGAAAGAAGGTGATTTTTCTTCGTTCATTTCCTCCCAGAAAGTCTTCGAAGGTGGCAGAGGTTTGTATCTACCTTTACTTTCATTTTCTCGTCTCTTCCGTGCCTGGTAATGGACAGAAAAAGTTAAGTCCTCCCCATTCAGGCCATTAATTTCAGGATCCCACGACACAGCTCTGACTACGAGATTCTCTGTCACCAATACTATGTCTTCACCTTTTGCTAAGTTGACTTCAGAGGCAAATCTGTCAACAAGATCTGTTATCCTGTTAAAAGTCGAGAAAGAGAATTATCAATTAATGCGGTTAAGAATTGTTTAGTTGCACGAACAAAATCTCCTCTATATAAACAGGGGTAATCCATTTATATTAAAATAAATGTCTGCCCGTTTGTGTGTCCCTTTTAGACTCCTTAGCCATCCGACTGGGAGAGATAAAATTTGGCATACTGATAGTTTGAACTACGGAGAAGGTCACTGTTGACATTAGAACATTCTACTTAACGGTTTGAGCCGGATGATCGAAACATGAAATGCGATTTTTTTATTAGTATCATTAGCCTTTGTTTTAGATTTATCTGTGGACGATTCTATTTTTCCAAATATTTTAACTATAACATGAGTAAAATTTGCTAGCTTATAATTCTATTTGAAGAAGAAAAGAGTTCATAGCTAGTACTTTATTATTATGTTATGTCAGATGAATTCAATGAACAACGTTAACGTGGTAACATGGAAGAACTGTGTCATCAATTTAGTATTCCAAAAAATATCTGAAACCAAATATTTATTTTGCTTATAGATTTTGTTTAAAACTTATTTTATAAAATGTAATAATTTAAAATCTACGGTAATTGAAATTAAAAAAAAAGTTTTGGAAAGACGAAATTAATGGGAAAGTAGTACAAAATCATTTAAGTGAAACGAAAAAAATCTTCATACTATTATCACGCCAACGATGCTCAGAGGATTCAAATTATAGATGCATTACAAAGTTTAAAAAAAAAGATATATACTTTAAAAAGCAAATTTCTGAAGTAATGGTACTTATTCGCTTAGGAGAATCGTTCGAAAGATCCATACTATTATCAGCACCAACAATGCTGAAATAACATTTTCAATATGTATTAATTTTATATTTTTTATATATTGAACAGCCGCCCGAATTTTTAGTTTACGACTACCATTGTTCAAATCCGTATCCTTGCAATTTTGAACTCAATTCAGAAGACAAGGGGACTCCTGGATTAAGTATTGGGAGAAATGTGCCTCAATGGAGAACTTTTTGATGGAACTAACCCGCATTTGCTTCACGTGGAGAGGAAGACCACGTGAACATCCCACGGTTAGCCTGACGGCAAGGGGACTCTGACACATGATCCGTCTACCACTGAGGATATTTCACGTTAGCACTGTAATTTGTGCAAGCCGGAAGAGGAATTCGTATAGATCAGCTATGGCTGATATTCGAAACCGGTTCACCTCATTGGAAGGCGAACACTCTATCCTCTGAGTCATCGCGACTCATATGTATTAATTGAAATATAAAAATAATAGCATATGTACTAAAGAACAAAGTTAATAGAGAAAAAATATTTATTCGTTCTGATGTACCGTAAACAATTGCCATATATTATTAACATCAATGCGTCATGAAAAAGAGTAATATGTATTAATTGAAATTAAAAAAAGCTATGTATTAAAAACTTAGTTAATGTAAAAAGGTACTTATTCATTAAAGGAACCATCGAAAATTGCCGTACGTAGATAACGCTTAATTAATTTTGGTAATAAGAACTACCGGTTTTGTGGTAAATAATGTAGTTTTAATAAGAATTTTACGAAGGATTCTCGTACTTTCGAACATATATTTCCAGTGGTAGCAAAGATAGCGTATTAACATTTTAATGAATTAGAATTGAAAGAACTGTTTTTCATACTACTTATAAGTATTATAAACAATATATTTAAAATCAAATAGAGAAATGACCATGTTTTAAATTTCCCATGAAAGTCTTGATTTGATTTTAAAATTTCGTCTTCATTTTGCTACCCTCATACATGTATTTCGTACAATATTCATATTTTGTGGGATATATAGTAAGTAACAAATATATCAATATAGGTATAAAGTATTATTGTGAAATATTTGGTAAATGATAAAAGGGCACCAATGCTAAGTGTCTCACGGCTTCTCAAAAGTTATATGTACCGGAGAAAATTACTTGATTGCGATAAATTTCTACGATCATAAGTTGGATTCGAGCATATGCATCATACCAAGTGTTAAATATAGTTAACCCATATTCCGATAGGATGAACTACAAGAAACGTGCTTTACTTGGTTTAATAATTAAAGCCAAAGGAAAGAGCTACAAATAATAATAAATAAAGAAATAAAGAATAATTTTTGTTTTATTAATTGAGGCGTTATAAGATTTTCAGTTATGTACGTGGTTTCGTAATGTTGTTCAGTATTGATTTATTGATTATTTTCTTTTTTTATTCATCACGCACGAAAAACGGGTATTGAGCTTATATTTATGTAAAAAAATCTAAAAAGTCATAAAATTTATTAAATTACTATTTTCAAACAAGCTTGTATTTAATAAATTAAATTTAAAAATAGACATATATACTTAGTTAGCATTTAAAACGAAATGATATCAATATGATATAATTGTATTGCTTATAAAATGTATTTTAATTAGATAATGTTTATTTTTATTTATTTATTTTTTTAGAAAAATATTACTTTGAAACATAATTTAAATTTTCAAATTTTGTTGTTTTTAAAAATTTATATAATAAGAATAATTATTTCGATATTAATAATAATTATTTTGTTTGAACGCTGTATGATAATTTAAGAAAAAAATCTGAATATTCAACGTTTCTATTTAATAAGAAAAATTAATTAATTCCGTATTCAGAATATATTTAAGTGTAAGCACATGATTACACTTAGTTTAGAAAATTATAAAGGTAAATTACTAACCAAATCATGTTTAAGGTAAAAGAAAGGATGTGAATGATGCAATTTAATTGTGAATTAGAAAATGAGAAATCTCCTACGAAATTGCTTATCAAAATAACAGATTCCATTAAAACCATACCTTGCAGTTGTTGATCCATTAAAATCACCGATCCATAGCAGAGATTCATTAATTGCCAATAAATTACTAACGATTGATAACATGTTGTGAGCTATCTGAAAAAGATGTAATCAAAAGATGATGAAATTTTCCATCACGATCATATGTTGTTTAAACTAATGAGTCTTGTGTATGGTTTAGGTTAAGAAAACCACTTATCGTAAGTGAGAATTACCTTTTTATCATAAATGGCGTAATCCAGAACACCTTCAATTTGCTTTGTCGCTACTTGTAGTCTTTCAATATTCAGATGTTTTGGGTCTTCTGTTAAAATCCAAAGTTCACCGGTTAAATCTTCCGCATTTTTGAAACCCTGTATAGGTAGTAATTTAATTTTAAAAAAAAGAAAAAGAAAAAACATATAACTTCATTGTTCGTAAAATATTTAAAATTGCTTAATGATATTAAGACAAAAATTATCCATGAAATATTTATTATACACTATTTGACGAACGAATTGGGTTACAGAATTGCTTAAAAGCATTATTTGTAATGCTTCACTTTATTTTCTCGTGAATGTTTTCTCTAACTTAAAACAGTATAGGGATACACTGTAAAAAATGTACGTATAAAATTCTTCGATTTTGACGAAGCTATTCCAGGGAAATGATCGTTTTGTCAAATATTGCTTGATTCTGCGAATAAATGTTTGCCAAAAATAATGAAATGCTGCCCAAGGATCACTAAATCGTCAAACAAGATAGGTTTTTTCCTTAGAGTGTAAGAAAAGGAAAAAAAATAAACTAAGTGGAGCGATAGCCCATAGAGGGCCAAGGCCTACTGTGCCCATCTCAGTTTTCTTGATATTGGGCTCTGGGGTGCAGGAGTTAGAGTGTAAGTAGGGTCGAGGTAAGTCCATAGATCGTGGATGTCAGACAAGATATTCCCACTTATAATTGATTTGGCCACCTGACCCTATAACTTTCAAATTCGGCTCACAGCTCTTGCTTTCCCGATCGATCCAATTCATGTGTGACTCGGGGCCTTATGTCTACGAGTTCATGATTGCTTGATTTTTCTTGTGCTATTGCGGTGATAGCTGTCTTGATGATGAGACTTCTAATTATTGTGCATGGGCCGTCACATAGAGCATTTCTCCCCAAAAAATGATGAAATTTTCATGAAATTTGAAAATTAAATTTTGACAGTAAATACTCAAATTTTACGAAATTTTTAATGTTTCCTTTCATCAACATTCTTTCTTTAATACAAATAGTTATTTTTAAAAAACGAAGCAGTTTCTCATATATTATAAAAACAGTTAAAAAAAGAAAGGCGTCGTCTAAAATTTTCGTCTTTACATTAAAAAGTATTTTGAAAAGCAAAAACCAAAACTTCTTGAATTGTTTTAATTCTCGATAAAGTCATAATAAATCGATAAAGTCACGCATTTCATTTCAAAAAAAGTAAAATAAATATAAAGCATGAATGAAGTATGCGAATCAAAGAAGAGAGAGATATAAAAAGTACAAATATTACGGATACTTTGCAGAAAGACGAGAAAAAAAAAGATTTATCTTGTGTGACAAATCGCAAAGGATTTCTTTCTGGAATGCCCTCAGAATCACAGAGGAGAAGAATAAATGGGAAGAAGAAATAGGGACAAATACCTCTTCTCTGCAGCTGGTGAGATCAGTCTGTCCCCAGGCGACAGATCCGTTGGACAGGAGGTAACAACGCCTCTTGGCAAATCCAGTGGCAGATTCTCGATCAGGGTAAGTGGAGCCGAAAGGACACTCTATCAACTGTGCCCTCCCGTGGGAAGTGGAGTTCCAGCGGAACACACCTTTATTACTGTGGAGAGTGTTCGGAGGACAGTGCTCTGAAAATGAAAAAAAAAGAGCTGGGTTGAAATGTATGCCAGAACGAGAAAAAAAATATTAATAATGGAATAAATGCATTGTTAAATAAAATAGAAAAATATATATAGGACGTATTGCAAACACAGTTATGTTAAAAACAGTTCCACTTGATCTTTATAAGGCTTAATTTTTACTAGTGATGTTATGATGTTAAGTTAAAATTATTTCGGATTAAAATTAATGTATTTAATATATGTACAGGGTGAATCTAAAAAGATGTACAAAATTTTAGGAAGTGATAGTACACACCCAAGCAAACCATTTTCATCAAGGAATGCATGGTCGAAACAAAACGCAAAACCGCTAGAGGGCGTCAAAGTTTATGTTCTTACATGAGTCAAAAACACGCAAAGAACGATGAAGTTATCTCCGTAATACATTAATTCATTTTTACAGAACACTTTGGGTACTTTTCCATTAATTGAGTCCCGCTGCCCTGCTTTTTCCTGTGTGAGAATGAAAATCTCAGTTCTCATCCACGTTAGGAAAGCGGTTTCATTTGCTGTTGAACGAGATTGGGACAAATATTTACGTTCAGGCTATAGAGGGTGTTTTTTACTCTTTATTGCCTATACTTCCATTTTACTAGACGCAAGCTCTTTATTGCCTAAGTTTCGTTTCCTGTATACTTTGATGCCATTTGGCTCACGATGTGTATCTCATTTAGCTTTGAGACACTCTAGGGTAGTTCTTCTTGTATACGTATTTTTGTTAACTGATTTATTATTTGTGTTTAAAAGAAGAATCGTTCTAGGAATCTTTAATTGAAGACCTGTTATTTAAAGACATAATAATCGTTATCTGAAAAAAAAAAGAAAGAATCGTTACATAAAACACTTCTTACCTTGCTAACACTATACCAACTTCAAAACTTAAATCTAAATGATTATTTACAAAATGAACTTAATCTCGCTGCTAGAACAATATGCTAACACTACCGTACAATGGTGCACGGATTACAACAAGAAAAAACAGTAATAAACAAGTAAAAAGGGGCCAAATTGGGACGGCCAAAAAAGCGAGCTCTGTCTGAATCTAGCAGCCATGACATCTTTTTTTAACAGTACATCTATAAATAACTAAAACAAATTTTCACTTCAAACTTCCCAGAATTACTTAATATCATTAATATCTTACGAAATACAGCAGATTTGAGCTCAGAAGTTATGAAATTTATATCTTTTATTAAAAAAAAATATGTTTGAAAATATCGCCTCGCAAAATAAGCTTTAGCAATCTTTTTAACTGGAAGTCAAGAAGGTCGACATTGTTGTTTATATTGATAATATCATCCATAAAATTGGTTAAAAGTTAACATGACTGCATCTCAAAATCATAAAAATAATCACGTTGTGTTTTTTAATCAACTGACACAATAAAAGCTTTCTTTTTTCGACTTACCTACTAGATGACACCTTTTTCCTTTATAACCAGGTGCACAGCGGCAGTGGAATGAATTAATTAAATCTCTGCAAGTCCCACCGTGCTTACATGGGGATGACGAACATTCGTCGATGTCTGTTTCACACTGTTTACCTGAAAATGACATCTATATTTAAATATGCATTGTGATGCTATTATAGACATTACATATTTCCTAGCTTTTAAAAATTCTTTAATATCATAAATTTATTTTTTTAGTCATTCTTTAACATTCCTGCATAATTTTTAACATTCTTTATTCCTTTTCTTTCTATTCTTCAACATTTCCTATGTAATTAAATTAAATCGATTATTTAATTTTGACCCCATTTTATTAAAAAAAATTATTATGAATACTTTTATACTTTTCTTAACAATCAATATAACAGCTAACTCATTAATTCAGTTTCGCGACTATTCGAATACCAAAATCTAATTTTAACAATATTTTTCTTTCAGATGCTTTTTTTTTAAATCTCTAACCTCAAAAATGTTTCGGTTACTGGGATATATTTAATTCTAACGGTCTTTTTTAAGTGATTAAGTTGTTGCCAGATAATTTAAAAAATTTAATATTAATAACACCGAGTTGGCTTTTGTTTTGGCTATATTATCTATTGATAACTCGCCAAATTTTGGGTTGCTTAAGCCATGCTTCTAAGCGTCCGTTAGCAACTATGCATATACTGGAAATTTGAACTTTTTGGCATTAGGACGGGGATGGGTGGGTTTGGATGTCCAATGGCCCCTCTGTCCAACCGTTAAATAGTGTTAAAAATTGTTGTATAAAAATGGATGCCTTAAAAGAAGCTGTCTTCATATCTGTGTGAGAGATGGCTTAATATTTTATTTTGTTAGCATATTTTTGGAAGTTTTTAATATCTCCATATTTATAAATATTAATAAGAATGATTTTCTTTGTCAGATTATATTTCAGCAATTTCACAGTTTCGTACAACAGCAATGAATAAGAATTTTCACAATTACAATCCGGCATGATATATATATTTTGGCATACTACACCACATTTAATGTTTTAAGAGTGCATTTAAAAAAGACTCAAAATAAGCTTTGAGAGCATGTTGAATTGAAAGCTGTCTTTAAACAAGACAGCTTTTTTAACTAGACTAAATTTCCACTAAGCTCTTCATTTTTATCGGTAAAATAAATGATTCAAGTTTCCTAAAGAGGGCTTACGATTTGAACAATAAATTGAAAGAAGAAAGAAAGGTATAAATGCGTTCGTGTTTGGAAAACAAAAACATTTATTCTCAGAAGGTTTCAAATTAGTTATCATGTTTTTCAACAGATGGCGCTGTTAATGTATAAACAGTATAAAATAATGATTTTAAAGTAAATCGTTTTTGCAGAATCAAAATGGTGAAGTCTTAGAACCAAATTAACATACGCCCGTGCAAGTATTTAAGTTAAAATGGTTAATATCTGGCAGAAAATACAATTTCATAGTCTATACTCAGCGGTGTCATCTATTGGCAAAAAATTGTAATAATTCTGAAATTTTTTGCAAATAAATTAAATCGGGATTTTTTTTGTTGCCGCATGAGAATTTTTTGAAACAGATCTTAGATACTTTCGTATCGCTCGATTCAAATCTGCAATCAATTTCTCTCACCAAACTACAACTTTTTTACAACTACAAACTACAACTACAAAATTTTAGTCTAATTTTAGGCCAAAATTTACAAGCTAAAAACGCCATAAATACAGATGGTCACATAAATAATGTGAAAAACTGATATGTTAAAGCACAGCACTAGGATAAAAATTGCATAGAAGTTAACCTATCTCCGGAAATGTCATCACAAGCCGCTAGAGGAGATTTTCAATTATGAACTATTTTTTCGTGTACTTCTGAACATGTCATAATAGCGTCTTTAGTTACGTACAATGGCATTTCCGGTCAAGGGCTCGTATGCACTCTTTATCTTGATGATGTGTTTTAACTCCCCTTTGAAGTTTGTCGCAAAATTTGCATAAGCCACTGTTACTCATAACGCTCTTAAAATAAAAAAAATATTATTGAAAACTTTCGCTTTAAGAGCAAAAATAATATCAGATTTGAAATTCCAATCCTCGAAACAAACAAGATCAAGTATTTGTATAAATGCTACAAAATTTTTTCCTCAGTGTTAACTGGCTTCCTGAATAGGGCCCACCAACTCTACTTTTCTGATTCCTTTTTTAATTGAATTATTAAATCAATGATTATTTTTGAAACATCTGGCGCATACTTAATATGTCCATTTATCACCTAGCTCACCTGTATAACCTGGTACACATCTGCACACATATTCTTCCTGAGATGAATTTTGGCATTTTCCTCCATTACGACAAGGATCAATGGAACATGGATCATAGAACTGGCAAGTTTTTCCGTAATAGCCTTTTGTGCAGTAGCACTGATACTTGTGGCTGGCAGTGCTTTCACAACGTCCACTGTGCAAGCAAGGAGAGGGTCTTATAGCACATGGATTGAAATCACTGCAGTTTTGTCCGGAAAATCCAGGTAAGCACTCGCAGCGATATTTGTTACTCGATATGTTTTGACACTTGCCGAAATTTTCGCATGGCTCTAGGGAACAAGGGTTGAATTTGTCGCAAACGTCACCGTAATAGCCCTGCTTACAGTCACAATGGTAACCAGGCTCCTCGTTCAGAATGTGACAATCCCCGTGCTGGCAAATATTCATCTGGCAATCTGAAATATAGAAACGTTTTCATCTGATTTTAGTTGCTATATTTAAAAAAAAATATAAAAAGAATCTCCTATTTTTCTAAAAGATATTATATTTAGTTTTTTCTGCTTGCATTATAGATATGTTTAAGGTTACTCATACGCTATGAAATGGTTGATGCTCGCATATAGGGTGTTTCGTAACAACTACGCTTGATATATATTATTTTGTACTCTTTGTCGAAAATGAAGATAGATATACAGTTTAGGAGGTGCAAATTATAGTGGAGGGATAGAACACAAAATTGTTATTGAAGTCATGGTTGAGTAAGGTGGATGTGCAGAACATGCCTATTGCCCATTATAACTTGAAGTTTTTATCAATGTTTTACAACTTTTTTTCTGTTTTCCTCAGCAATTAAATGGATTTTAATGGATTGTGTAATGTGTGGGGGAAAAAATGGTCCACCCTGAATAATTAACGATTTAATAATTGGATCCTCACATTTTAGGACTCAATATACTTATTTAAAATTTGATTTCTCAAAAAATATCGAACGATATCGCACAAATTTTGTATTTAGCCATGTCAAATTACGTTCTTTGAAATGATGTAAAATTTATACCTTACAATTAAAAATAATTTCAGATATTATTAAATGTAATAATAAAAAATAATAAATTTTTGCTTGAAATAGTGAATTAAATAATTTTATAATTATATGCAATAAATTTCCATCTCGCATAAAAAGTTCTGGAGACAAAGGGAAATAAGCAAAAAAATATAATTAGCATAAGGGTCCAAACTTTGGAGAGCTCTCCTGGACAAACTATTGGGACCGAAATTCCCAGATTGCGGCTATCCCCTTTATTTTGGGAGTCAAAAATTCGAATCTGACGATTAAAAAGGTATGTTTATACTCACCGGAAGTTTTTATGTGTGATTTCGCAAATTAAAATGTTTTCTGCACTAATTAATTAGCATACCTTCAAACAATTAAGATTGAGTTGTGGAACGTGAAGATCCAATCATTAGGTTAAAAGTTATTCAGGATAGTCCGTCTTTTTGCGAGCTGTACATGTGCTTTCCTCAATAGCAATTTGTCATGAATCGGTAGTGTGTTTGTACAGTTCTCATTTACGTATAATTTTGTAACTCCCAATATTAACGCTTTTTTTATATGCAAGTTTTCAAACAAATGTACAGTTAACGATCTTTGCAGAACACTTTACGTATTTTGATAGATATTCATGAAGCACTTTTCCCAATATGATTTAAATGAGTTTTCGCAATTAAAATAGAGTTTAATTAACAGTAAAAAAACTATATTATACTTCATTTAAAAGTTAAATATTATTCACAGCTCTGGCAACAAATTTTTTTTTAATTAATGCTAGATATAGGATTTAATTTCATAATGATTCTTTGAAAATTAATATTTACTCGCGAAACTATAAAGTTACTTATAATAGTTATGTTACAAAACATAACACAGACAGCGTGCAATACAGCATGTTTGATTGGTATTTTAAAAATATTCAATTCTACAGAACTAGGCAAAATAAATTTCTCAGTGTGTTAAATTATTTTGTCATTTATTTAAACATAGTAATTTCGGTTAAAAAAACTATGCTACAAATAGATTTTTGATGTTTGTTTATTCACTCAAGACCTTATTGTATCTAAATAAATGAGACTTCGTTTAACTTGCTCTTAAGCTCTACAATTCCAGTACTTACAGTTTGGTCTTGTTTTGAACCTGTCCACTGTGCTACCTTCTCCAGTTTCTAGTCTATTCCTTCCATATATTCGAATATCGAAGTCATTCAATTTTGTAAGACTAAGCAAAATAAATTACTTAGGTTGTTAAACTGTTTGATATTGTGTTGAAATGAAACGGCATTCGATTTAAAAAAAAATCTATGCTGCAGAAATATATTTCTCATGCTTTTATAGTGCACTTTGAAGCTTATTGCTTCCCAATTACCAAAACTTCGTTTAACTTGTTTTTCAGTTCTTCAATCTCAATACTCACAATCGGGTCTTGTTCCGAACCTGCCAACTGTGCTACCTTGTCCAGTTTCGAATCTATTCCATCCATATATTCGAAACTCGTAGTCCGTCCAAGGTTTAAGTTCTACCAGAGTGGAGCACTTCGACATTGCATCGGATGTTATATTGAGAAAAGAGGGTGCATCATGGGGATTCTCTACTTCTCTGTACTTTATAATGTAACCTAACACTTGCCCATACTCGGGACGTGTCCAGCATACTTGCACTGTAGAGCCTGTTGCGTTGGTAGAACGAACGTTTCTTGGTTCTGGAAAATGAAAAGCAAATGCGAATTTTAAAAATATTTTTATTTATATATTGAAATTGTGACGAATAATTACAAGAAAAGAGTATGACATCACTATCTGGCATGCATTCTCGCACACCGTGAAAATTTTAGATAAAAGTACTGACTCCCTCAGTGCAACATCCGTAAAATTCACTTCAATGTAAAGTCCATTTTTTATAAAATTTTATACTTTAAAATTTAAAGCATTATTTATTTAACTACAATGCTTCAGTAATTTTACAGTAAATACAGTTGTAAAAATAACCGTATATCGGAATTTTTATTCTTTAAAATTTTGTGGTAAAAATGCACTATAAAAATGGATACTCAAATTTCACGAAACTTTCTTTGTTTTTGACGAAGCCGTTTCCTGGTATATACTGCTCAGAGAAAAATTTTCGTCAAAGTGGCGAAATGACTGTCGTCACTTTTTGGGGAAACTAATTTCGTCAAAATTAAAGAAATATTTCATCATTCTATTTCTTCAACAAAAAAAATGCTTCTAATATATTTAACTTTTCTAATAATCATTTTATCGTGGGCACCTTTCAGGTCACCCAAACAACACAAGGACATATAGAACAGAGAGATAAATTACACCTATGCCCGAAGCGGGATTCAAACCTGTGATCGTCCTAATACGAGGCCAAATACACTTTACAGACCAGTCGGCTTTATTTTCGATCGTCTAGTTTTCATTCTAGTTAACGATTTTCCACAATGCTCTACGATGAGGTTTCGAGTTGAGGAGGAAACATCTTCATCCTATATTTGAGAGTTCGCGTTTCGTCACAAATTCCGTGATTTCGTGACGAAATAATTCTCACGATTAGCGAAATACAGCTCAAAGATTGCTGTATCGTCCAAAGTGAGAATTTTATTTCTTAGATGTATTTCTTTTAAAATAAAAATTTTTTTTAAACTTTTATTATTATTTTATAAAGAGCAATTAATTTTACTAGCATTATGCAGTTTTTCCTAGTAATTCAAGTGGCAGCATAATGACATATTATAATTTCATAACTGTTTACTGCCACGTTCTTCCACTTTTACAAGCCTGACAGATTTATTTTGTGTTATTAATAACAAGGCTCAGACTGAATAACATAGTTTATGCTATCAATGGTTTAAAAAAAGCAGGAAAACCTACTTATTTTTTAAAATTTCTTAAAATGGATTTTTCTCAGAAAAGGTTTTTCTGATAAAACAACAAAATTACTTACCAATCGTTCACTTAAACAAAAGAACTAATGTTGGAATCATTTATGTAGGTTAGAAAGAAATGAAAATAAGTGCCAAGGAAAATTACACTTGTTCGTGTGACGCACAAAATATTGACTGGAAAACTTATTTTTACAAAATATTTTAGATAACATTCCTTGTGCACACAATCTATATAGACAGAAATGACTTTTACAGTTTCGGAGTAGAAAACTAAATTAGAAAAAAAAATGTAAATTAAGATTCAAAGCAAGGAATTATTGAAACTATCGCTGGTGACATGCCAGGAAAACGGCATTTTAAAACTCAACATCCATTTTTAAATGCATAATTGTTAAAATCAGTGAAAGAATTTTTCTAAAAAAACTAACAAAAAAAAAAGTATTAATGAAACCTTTAAAAAATTAATGAATTTATAGTATAATATTAGATTTCGGTAGCAGTTACAGTAAATTTTATAACTTTAGTTATAAAGCTGACCCAAATTTTGTGTTTACGACTACTAATGTTCAACTCCGTAGCCTTGTAATTTTGAGCCCTATAGAGAAGACAACGGAAGGATCAAGTATTAGGAGAAATTTGTATTCGCGGAGGACTTTTTGAGGGAACTAACCCGCATTTGCGTTACATGGTGAGGAAAACCACAAAAACCATCAACGGCTAGCCTGACGGCAAGGGGACTCAAACACGTGATCCGTCTGCCACTGAGCATATTTTATGTCAGCACTGTGATCGGTGCGAACAGGGTGCGGAATTCGTAACGACCAGCTGCCGCTTGGATTCGTACCAGGTTCAATTTATTGGAAGGCGAACGCTTTATCCCCTGAGCTACCACGGCTTAGTAACGGTAAATTGTCATATTTGGTGAAAACCACCCATACAATATAGTTACGCAGTGATAGTTATTAGGAAAGGAAAAAAAAGTGATAGTTACTGAGACAAATTAACCTCTTAATGATTGGTTAGTTTTCAAGAAAACAATCACAAAAGTGCTTATTTTTTTGACTTTTGTATTTGTATTACGCATTTGATTTGTGCTGAAATCTAGTTTAAAATAAACTAACTATCTACAATTACTTAAGTAACGGTAAATTGTCATATTTGGTGAAAACCACCCATACAATATAGTTATGCAGTGATAGTTATTAGGAAAGAAAGGAAAAAAAAGTGATAGTTACTGAGACAAATTAACCCCTTAATGATTGGTTAGTTTTCAAGAAAACAATCATAAAAGTGCTTATTTTTTTGACTTTTGTATTTGTATTACGCATTTGATTTGTGCTGAAATCTAGTTAAAAATAAACTAACTATCTACAATTACATTAAAAAATATCCTGGTACTGCTATCTGGTGTGCAAAATGAGAAATAAAATGTTTTCCGGGCAAAAGAAATGAATTAGTTTTATTCTTATTGGAGCGTTAATACTGAACACTCCAGCCCGTCAATATCACGGG